CGCGCGCAGCCCCGCCAGTCCCGGGTCGTGGGGCCGCGGCGCGCGTGCTGCATGCGGGGCGGGGCGGCCACGAGCCGGAGGCGAAGATGGAAGGCTTAACGCTGAGCGACGCGGAGCAGAAATACTACTCGGATCTCTTCTCCTACTGCGACATCGAGAGCACCAAGAAAGTGGTGGTCAACGGCCGGGTGCTGGAGCTGTTCCGGGCCGCGCAGCTGCCCAACGACGTGGTCCTCCAGGTAACGCGGCGGCCGCGGGCTCCGTGCGGGACAGGGGGCGCCGCCTCCCGAGGGCCGGCGCGGCGCGGGCCGCAGGTGCCTGGGTGGCCGGGCCCCGGCCGAGGGCGCGGGGCGCTGCGGTGGGGTCGGGACGCGGTCGCGCACCCCCACCCCCACCCCCACCCCGAGATCGTGGTTTTTCAGCACTACAAGAGCACCTTCCCTGGCTGATTAGTGTGTTTCAGTCCTAGATCATAGTAAATGCATAGTCCTTTGCATCCTGCAGAGTAGTGAAGTTGTCACTACGGTTAATTTTGAATTAACTGATGAATTTTGAGTTAAGCGGTAAAGTCAGTTGTATAGATTTAGGAATCCAAAAAGCAGGGTGTTTTGTCTTTTTTTGGTACTGGATCCTTGCACTTGCTAGGCAAGCACTCAACTCCTAGCCCCGAAGAAGCAGGATTTTTTTTTTTTTTTTGTTAAAGGAAGCTAAATTCTTAAGGAGATTAAGAAATTCGAGCTTTTAGCTAATAGTTTGTAAGCAGATAAGAAAAGAACTTGTAATTATTCTTAGAACGTGTGGCTGATGTGAACTGGATGGGACATTTGATAATATTTAGAAGAACTTGTGGATTTGCGTTACGACGTAATTATTGAGGCAGCTGGAAGTGAGATGTGCATGTTTGCTTCAATCTGTGGCCTTGGAGGAACAAGTAGAGCTAAACATAAACCTTTTAAAAAATCGTATCTGTTGTTAGAACAGCAGACTTCCTAAAGTTCTTATCTAAGGTGTGTGGTGAGCGCTAATGTTAGTGTTTAATGATTCATAACTGCTGTATGTCAGGAACAGGTTTTAAGCCTTCATCCTTCTATTGATCCGAGCCAGTTATCCAGAGCGTCAGAACATAAAGCCTGGCTCTCAGGTGCAGAGTAGTGGAGTGCAGGCCTTGGGCCAGTGTTTTGGGAGCCTCTGGCCGGCTTTTTCTTCTGCCTGTGCGTGTCGGCGTCGGGTGCTGTGCCTCGCCAGCGTAGCACCGCATGCTCTTGTGTGGCGTGGAGTCGCGGACCCTGCCTAAGTTGATTTGTTTTGCTATCCATGTTTTATATTGTTTTTTCAAACGTTGGGGAGACAAGGGTTGAAGGTACCAATGAAGGACAAGTAGAAGCCCCAGATTCATGCTGTTGAAAATGGACGAATAATCAATATTTTACTCACTCTCGGCCACACAGTCTGTATCATTTGTGTCTTTATGACGTTTTAAAAATGTGAAAATCATTTTTAAGTCCGGAACATACAAAACAGAGCTCGTAGTTTGCCAAATCTGATCGAGTGGTGGTGTTGTGGGCTGCTGTAGCCTCTGTACAGGTTTACAGTAGAACTTTCACAGAAAGAGGTCTGGTCAGAACCTACCCGTTCATGACCGCCTCCTTTTTTGTGTGGAATTACTAAAACACCTTCAACTCAGTGAGGATCTAAAATTAAGAAGAGGCCTCCCGTGTTCTGTTTTGCCTTATGTTTGGGGCAGAGAGAGATGAAATAAACTTCGCAGTTTTTAATGTAGAATATGTTATTTTGGATTAATCAGTGTGAATTAAACTTTATTTAAAAATATCGAACCCAATCTGAGTTATGTTTGTATTTTATTAACATTCAGAAAGAATGTATTTGGCTTTTTGTATAAAAAGAAAGCTCGAGTAGAGTATTCATGATTCAGTTACAAGTCTGAAGCAGGACTCTTACAATAATGCAGGTTCACCATCCCTGAACTGAAAATCCAAAATCTGAAATGCTACCAAACCCAGAACTTTTGGGGTCCAACATGATACCAACAAGTGGAAAATTTCACAGAATTATGAAACATTGTATAAAATCATCCTCAGGCTATGTGAATATGGTGCATATTAAAAAATGTTAGTGTTCAGACTTGGATCCTGTCCCCCAAATACCCCATTATATATAGCAGAATTCCAAAATCTGAAAGAAAAAAACTTGAGAATACAAAACATTTCTGGTTCCAATAATTTCAGATAAAAGATACTAAATCTATACTAAATAGCAGTCTGGATATCTGGAAGGTATTTTACTTAGTAAAAATTAACTTACGACATAGAAATATGAGACGAAAGGAAATATGGGCTTAATTTCTTTTTTCATTTTGGTGGTATTGGTGATTGAACCTAGAGTCTTGACATGCTAGTCATCTGCCATTGATTAGGCTATATCCCTAGCCCTATTTATTTATTTGAGACTGAGTCTAGTGAAGTTGCCTGAGCTGCCCTTGAGTTTGCAATCCTCCTGCCTCAGCTTTAGGAGTAGTTAGGATTACAGGTAAACACCATCATATTCCCCTCGGTTTCATTTTTTTTTTTTTTTAAAGGGAGTTTGGGTTTTTCTGAAAACAGCATGTCATTGCTTTCCAAATAAGACACATTTGGGACAACTCAGAATTCTGAGTTCTCTAAGCATAGCAGGGCTTCAGAGACAAGTGAGGAACTCTGGAGGGGCTTGTAAATTATGGAAATCGCATGTGCAACATAAAGTAGAATGTGAATGTCATAGAGATGCAGTGTATTACATAAACATAAAGGTATAGATAGGAAAGGCCTTTTTACTAGGTTCAGCTGGACTTGAAGGTGGGGTAGAGTGTGGGATAAACAGGGATTCCAGGTAGAGAAGTGACATGACCAAAGGTGGACTGCTTAGGAGCCTTGCCAGGGACTAGTTCAGCAGAAGATAGGGTGTATTTTGGGGATAATGGAATATAGAGTAAGAAAGAGGGCCTATAACCAGAGATTGAAAAACCTGCAGGAGATTTCATACATCTTTCAGTAGACACTGAAACCCATTGAAAATTTCTGACTTTGAATGGCAGAGAAGTTAGGGACTATGGAAGGAGGCCCTTGCCTAAGTTTGGAGTGGGCATCCAAACCAGAGCAACAGCAGTGGTACAGCAAAGGGGCTGGATGTGCTATTGAAGGACTGCTGAGCAGCTGCTGTGTAAGAGGCTTGTGAAATAGTATTTCATTGAAGCCAGATTATCACAGTGGGGGAGGGGAGCTTTGAACAATTGTGAAGGTAGCAGGGAGTACTGTAGTAGGTTTCAGAGAGATGACTCATAAAAGCTGTGCTTAAAGAGGGTTTGGTCACAGCCACAATAGGTAGAGGAAAGCAGTTGGTAGCTAATTAACTTAGGAAATTATTTCGTGTCACACGTACGCAGTAGTGAAGAAGTGGGGCTAGTGACACTCAGATGTAGGATGAGAAAAGGCTGGGGTGAGGTTGGTTTTCACTCTGGGTTGAGGGGCATGGGTCTGTGTCTAGAGATGTTTTTGTTTGTCATAACTTATAGGGAGCGTGCTTCTTCCCCCCCCCCCCCTTATATTTAGTACAAGGGTGTACAAGGTCTCACTACGAAGATCTGACTCAGTGATTCTCCTGTTTTCAGCCTCCCAAGCTTTGGGATTGCAGGCATGCACCACCATGCCCAGTCTCAATTGCCATCTCAGCACGCCCCTGGGGTGGGGCCAACAGGGCAAGCCAGGGATTGAATCCCAGCTGCTGTGCTCTAAGTAGGCACTTTAATCTGCTGAGTTATCTGGCCAGCCCTTGGGAGAGTGGTTCTGCTGGTATGTAGTATGTGGAAGGAGGCCAGCGATGCTGCTAAATATCCTACAGTACACAGGACCACCCCCATAATGAGAATTATCTGGCCCAGAAATGTCATGATGGCTGACACTGACCTGGACTCCAGTGGTGGCAGAGGGTAGAAAATGAGGTTAGTTGGTGTAGTAGGGATTATGAAGGTAAACTGGACAGGTCTTTTTACTTGGCATTATTTCAGTAGGGGAAAAATAGATGAGGGGTTATTCACTGCAGACACCCCTCAGAAAAGGAAAGGATTAGGAAAGGGCCCCGATTTTTTTTTTTTTTAGGAGATAATGATTAGTATGATTTCAGGTGCTTTGAGGGCTAGTGCAAATCTCCTGGAGATGGAAACGGGTAGAGATTTGTCTATAATGAAGGTCACATGTTCAGGGCTTTTTGCTATGTCCTCCTCTCCTAAATGTCTTAGGGGCAGGGCCAAATAGTGTTCTCATGCAGTGGGCATGTACATGCACATCAGGGCCTCGATCCATCCCGTAGTTTTCAGCATTTGCTGAAGTTCTGAGAGGGCTGACTCATCTGGAGGAATGAGTGTAGAGAACAAAGAACAGAGGGGCCCAGAGCTGCAAGAGAAAGGAACTTGCATTATTGGGCGCCTACTATGCTGCTTTTATTAGGCAAATCATTTTTATACAGGAACTTATTTGGTCCAGGCAATAACCCTGTGAAGTGGGTATTATTCATGTTTATTAGCAAGGAACCAGCTAGGCAGAGAAGTTAAATAACTTGTTTATGGGGAGTATCTCTCCCTTACCATTATTTCTTGACGCTGCCCAGCTTTTCTTCCCTTCATTGTTCATGTGACTGGGGGGGGGGCAAAGTGGGAATAAAATTGAGTCAGATTTTGATTTGCTCATAGTTCTCTGGACAGAAGAGTAGAGATTTCAGATTGCTCCATTTTGGAATGCTATACCAACTTCTTCTTTTGCATGTTAGAGTTTAATATATGATATCTGGGAACACAGCCACTCCAGAGAAATAGGCTATTCTTGTAGTTGTTATCCTGGGCACACACACAGACAATTTTACATTACAGCTTTCAGATATCTCAAGGTATGTGCATCACGCTTACTTTGGAATAGCAGACCAAAGCCTGTGTTGGATTGAAGGGTTTTTGAAGATAGTGTCAGTTGACAAAGTGAAGAAGTTAACACTTTGTAAAATTATTCTCCATGCCACATAAAGCAGGAAGAGGGGAGAAAAATCTGTCTCTTAGGATTTGAGGGATTTTGCTGTCTGTTGAGCAAGAAAATACTATAGTGTGTTTTGATTTAAAGGTGAATTTTTCAGCCCTTTGAGGTGGTGCACACCTGTGATCCCAGCACTGGGAGGCTGAGGCAAGATGCATTTTCAAGTC